CTTGCAACTTCCTGCCGGCTTCCCCGCTGACTTTGGTTGTGGGGAGCCGGTAGGAAGTTGCCTCGCCTAATGACTGTGGGATTTAGCTAATGACGGCAACCGGGACTGCAGGGATTCCCATTGCTAAGCGACGCAGTTGTGCTTTTACGACCTCAAAAAAAACTGCCTTCCCACCTTCCTCAATAATCTCAGCAGCATGGGAGGAGAGGAGATAATCTGACCACAGGAAAGGTGACAGGTAACAGTAGAAACGATCATATTTCAGAATATTAAGGAAGGAGGAGTGGCCACTGTGGCACCCAAGACTGCCATCCTGCCTCCCTTCAGCCTCCACCAGGTCCACTACGGTATTGGTATATTACCAAAAGTTCTCTCAGGCCCCAGATTTTCTTAGAAAATAAACTTTTTCGTAGAAAATGACAGTGATGGGCAACTATGCTCATGTACTTTTGGTGGAAGTGTCCCACCGGTCAGGAAGAAGGATGAAGATGAACTGTCTGTTCTGTTAAGAGGGGCTTGAGGGAGTAGATGTGCCTGTTACAGCCTCTGTGGCAGTCATTTCATGAATAAACAAGCCTCTCTACAGTCGTAACGCAAAGGGGAAACAAGATCTCCGCAAAATGCCAAATGTGCCACCTGCCCAAAGTGTTGAGGATTCCTGAAAAAAAAAAGAAAGACCCTAAAGAGAGCCCAACAGACTTTTAGCCCTGCCTGTGAGGAGTTCAGCACCTGGTCTGATGCTTGAAGGGGAAGAAGACGACAACTTTGCATGGACTCTGGGCTACCATTTTGGCTGGTGCCTAGGGAGGGTCATGACTGACAGCTGTAAAGTCATTGAATTATAAGCTTCCAGTCCACAGGGGCAGGGGAAGGAGGAGCTGGGACAAACTGGCCAGGGTGTGCAGCTGGTCCTTCTCTGTCACAGAACTGATGATGCTAGGGCCCTGAGAAAGGGCTAGTAGTCAGCGGGAGCTTTTAAAGCATCAAGCAGGTCATGCGCATGCCAGCACCACTGTGCTCTTGGCTCTCTCACCTCGTGAAAGTGGATCTGCTTCAGCTGGTCAGGGTCCAGCTCAGTTACCACACCATGACTTTCTTCACACTTCACAGACACATTCATGGTGTGGCCAGTGGCTTTGACATTCAAGCAGAGTGGCTGGCTTTTCTTCTTGACATCACAGATCAGGTTAAAATTTACTTCCCCTTCCAGGGTTGGCATGAAGTAGATGTTAACTGGAAGTCTGGAGAGAAAACACACTTGCTGTTGGGTTGGGTTGGTTAGGGTAGATCTCCAGGCCTGGGGATCTGAGCCCAGGCAATGGCTGCGCCAATCTGGGTTTTTTTCTACCAGCTGCGGATTATGTGCATGCTGTTGTTTCTTTATTCTTTGGTGCTTTTATGCTGTTTTAATTATTGTTAGCCACTCAGATAGGGTGAGATAGGCAGCCATATAAATTGAATGAATGAATAAATAAATAAAGGCCAAATGTTGCAAAATGCTGGCCCTGGTTCCTGAGCACCTTCCAGCAAAAGGACAGACCTATGCAGATCTATTGTTAACAGCAGATAGCAGGATGTCTCTTTTCTTCTGCATAAAATCAGAATTCAAGAAATTCAAGAACAAGCATTTCACTTAGCAATGCACACAATCGTAACATCCAAGCACCCTTAAAAAGAAAACAGGAACAACTCAGCCAAATCTCAGGAAAAAACCCTGCTAGAGTTTGTTTTAGTAGAAATACTTCTATTTTACTTCTAGCTAATCAATTTTTATGGCCACCCAACTTGCAAATTGCAACTCTGGGAGGCTACATCAGGTTAAAACAGACCAAAGAATAATCAAAACAGAAATAAAAACAGCAGTAAGAACATAATACATTTGAGGCCACCCACAATCATTCTCCTAAACCATGTTACACACACACACATCCGTACTGTAAGCCATACAAATGTAACATTAAAATACATTAAAGCTATATCAAGTAGAGAAAGCAAGTCTCATCTCAAGAGAGCAATGCACAGCATTTGGCTTCCTAATTCTCATTCTCCGTTACCTGGAATGAGGTGGGATCAAACCTTCCATGGGCTGCAAATTCAAGCAGTTGATTCGTCCCTCTGAAAAACGGGAACAGTCTCGGAAAGAAAAACTGTAGGGTTCATTCTCATCATTGACTATATCAATGCTCTCACGTACTTCATGTCCTGGGAAAGAAAAAGACACTTACAATTTGGTGTCTGTTCACTAGAGATAAAATTGTGCTCACCTGGCTTGGCAAAAACTTGTGAAACAGATCTTTGACAGTAACTGATTGCAAACTGAATACAGCCGTGCAATGTGGCTGCAAAAAAAAGGCAAATGCACGTTTAAGATTCACCAGCAGAAGTATAATCTCTAAATCACAGTAAATGACTGTCACAATTTCTTCTGCTTTGGCCAGACCCCATCTTGTGTGCTGCCTCCACTTCTGGAGGATTCCTAGAAACAGGAATGGATTTGCCTTGGGTTTTCTCTTTCTCTACGTGCATTGCATACCAAATTAATCTTGTGTCCCAACTGTGACCCTGTTTGAATTTGCGAGTTTAGAAATCCCTCTCCTGTTCTACAAAATTTTCCTTTGAATCCAAAGGCATTCATGAAAATGCTTCCTATGTAATCAGATTTTAATTCAGTAAGAAAACATATATGTTAATCCTAGGTTTCTCACAACAATATTCCATAAAACAAAAATGCATATAATCTAGAACCCAACATCCCACTGACTCTACATTTACATTTGTTGGGCTCCCTTCTATCCTAGCCCAATGCCAGGGAGAAGAGCCAGGTCGTTACAGTCCTCCAGAAGTCCAATAGGGTGGAGGCTCTCCGCATTGCAGGTGTGAGCAAGGATATTATTCTTTCTCTCCAGGATTCTTTTTTTCTCTTAGTTTTGCAATTTGAAATTAATTGCCAGTTCTCTCAAGCCTTAGTCAAACTTGGAGGAAAGTGTAAGAGTTGCCGCATAAAGACTCCGTGAGACGCAGGCTTGCACAAAAGCAATTTACTCAGGTGTAATGCAGGTAGTTACAAACAAAGCCAGGGTTGGCTTGGCACAGGTTACATAGCATTTTATAGGTTCCCCGTTCCTGCGCTGCAAGTCCCGCCTGTAAACCGCCCCTGCCCGCCCCGGGCCGATGGCAGGTCCAGCCAGGGTCCTTGGTTCTCGGCTGTCTTGCTCGTGAAGCAGGTCCCGTGAGGCTCACTCACGATGGCACTTGATGGGCGGCTGAGCACAGCTTCAGCTGCGGAGCTCTTTGTCTTCATTGTTGGTCACTTGCCTGCGGCGGCTGGGGAAGTCCCGCTTGTTGCAAGATAATTGGATCCTTCCCACGGCTAATCGCCGCCACCTGTCGGCAGTTTACTTGCGGTTAGCACTTCCTCTTTCGATCACCTGCGCCTGAGGCAAGGAAGCTGACCAGGCGCACTTGAACCTAGCTGGGCAAAATGGCAGCTAGCTTGAATGGCGTGCACTGAGCCAGGCTGAACCTGACAGAAAGAACCCTGTTTAGGGACCAACTAGACCAACGCTTCCGGCTAGAGAGAGGTGGCCTTGGATGGAGCGGTGGCAGTCAGATTCAGAGAACAAGCGGCTTCCGGATGAACTCACTCGGAAAGACCAGCCTAAAGGCCCCATTTCCAACATTTGCATTGAATGTACCTAAGCTAATTTATAATTAGCTCTTTATTAAATAATATTCATAGAAAGACTCTGGACGCTGTACTCAAGCAAACCAGAACAGAGTATCTCAACAATTAAGATAATCCAATGAACAGCCCTTGACACGCTAATAATTTTGTTATTCCACAAGGGCCTGAAGGCGTGTTGAAACAAAGCAGTTTTAAGAACTTTCTTGAGTGAATGGAAGGCAGCGCCCAATTGCAAACACAAATGTACCAAAGAGAAGAATAGGAGACACCTGATGAAACAGCTGAGGTTGTCTAAAGAGCTCTCTGATAAACTGAGAAACAAAAAGAACAAATTTAAAAAATGGGTAAAGGGGCATATAACAAAAATTGACTATCAGAATAGTCCAAATCTGTAAGGAGCACTAAGACTCAGGAGGAGCTGAGACTTGCAATGAGTGCCAAAAATAAGGCTTCTTTGGATATGGGCAGAACAAGGAACAAGGAACAAGTCAAGGAAGCAGTTGGTCTGCTAGTTGGAGAAGATGGCAAGATGATGATGGGCAACAGGGAGAAGGGCAAATTGCTTAATTCAACTTTGCATCTGCTTTTCTGCAAAATGCTGGTGCAAAATGTGGTGGTGCAGGCAGTTATGTGTGAACCTAGAGCGTGCATGTTATACCTCTGCTCCGCAAGCTGCATTGGCTACCAGTCTGCTTCCAGGTTCAATTCCAGGTGCTGGTGATGACCTATAAAGCCCTACATGGCCTGGGGCCAGGATATTTGAGGGACCGCTTCACCCAATTGCATCTACCCATCCCATCAGGTCTGGCAGGAGGGTCCCGTCTACAGAGGAGTGTCATCTGACAGGACCCAGGAGGGTCTTTTCTGCCGCAGCACCCGCCCTCTGGAACATCACCCCCTGAGGTGAGATTGGTCCCAACCCGATTGGTCTTCCAGAAGACCCTGAAGATATGGCTTTGCCATCTAGCCTGGGGACAGCCTGTTATATGATTATATTTCTAGGAAATGAATGGTGCTGTCTCACAGATTATGGGTTTCTTTTAAATGGTTTAATAGTTTATTGTTTTTAATGTTTTTTAATGTTTTCCTTTTTTGTGTGTGATTGTCTTTGTATTGCTTTTTTGGTTTTTAACTCTGTAAGCCACCCAGAGTCGCAGCAGTGAGATGGGTGGCTATATAAATTAAATAAATAAGTAAAAGGAAAAAGGACTGGTTGGTTACATCGCAGGGTGCTAAAGGAATTGGCAGATGTGATCTGGGCTATGAGTGTGCACTCAGTGAATTCAAACAGCGTATCAAAGACCTGGAAATCCAAGAGGACCAGTCCGCTTTGCCTAAGAATGTTTTTTTGAGCAGTCAAGCCTTTTCTTACCAGCCAGCAAGATACCTAAATTACATCACTGTCCCCAAATTCCAGAGGGCACTAACTCTAGCACGCTGTAATGCTCTTCCTACAGCAGGTTTGGAGGGCCGATACAAAAAAGTCCCATGTGAGCTGAGATTGTGTCCCTGTGGACAAGGGGCTATTGAAACTGTAGCACACGTCCTGTTATACTGTGTTTTCTATAAGGACTCACGAACCCATTTAATAACTCC